TGAGGACGGCTGCATCTCGAATCAATCCCAGATCAGCCAAACGGGCACGTCCAAGCGAGCCGTTAACAGCCGTCATGCCGCGCCGCCACTTGTTTGCCACGTAGGGCCGATAGGTGGCCCCCAGCTGTTGTAATCGGGGTCAAAACGCGCTCATCGCTTGGTCATTGGTCTTTTATGTAATTTTTAAAAAGTGGTGTGAAATTACTAACGATATCGCAATTGTGATGGTGAAAGATGCGGGAATTCGAGACATTTGCCTTCTAGTTGACAGACACACGTACATGGGCATGTGTTGCACTTGGTAGCTAGGACTAGTTGCGGTACAGACATTATCACAGCTCAGCTTTGATCAGCGCACTACGCGTGGCGTACTAGCAAGCCTTGCATAATTGAGCTCATGATCTGAGTGTGGCGAGGAAGCACTCAGCCAAATCTCCATGCATGGCCAGTGTCTGGCGTGCGAGGAAAAGACAACACAATCGGCGGGGGCGTCGCCCTCGGTCCATACGAATCATCCAGCTGCCTCCCACCGAGTCAAACCCGAAACCCCAAAGCCACACGAACCGGAACCGGAAACAAAGGCGGCAACACAAAGTGGAGAAATCATGGGCCGTATGGCCATTGGCCAGGAAGGGTGCACGAAACCCCGACGTGCCATTCCATTTCCACGCGGAGAACGATTGCACGGACCTATAAATACCCGGCCCCGTCGCCGCTCACTAAACCACACCCAAACACGTAGTGCACCTCCTCCACTAAAAGATCATCAGCCTTCAGCAGAGCTACACTAGCTCCAAGCCACCGAGAGAAAAATGGCCGGCTTCTCGTGCACGAGCACGAGCCATGCTGCAGTTGCACTGGTTTCGGTGCTGCTGCTGAGCCTCGCGCACGGCTTGCTGGGGGCTCATGGAGCCAGGAGGCTCATGGAGCTGTACAAGCCGGACCCCAGCGAGCTCCTCACTTACCACAACGGCGCCGTGCTGCAGGGCGCCATCCCGGTCACCGTGCTCTGGTACGGCCGCTTCACGCCGGCCCAGAAGGCCGTCGTCTCCGACTTCCTCCTCTCGCTCACCGCCGCCTCCCCGGCGCCGACCCCGTCCGTCTCGCAGTGGTGGGGCACCATCGCCCAGCTCTACCTCTCCAAGGCCAAGGGCGCCAACGCCAAGCGCGCGACGCAGGTAGCGCTCGCCGGGCAGGTCTCCGACGAGCGCTGCTCGCTCGGGAAGAGCCTCGCGCTGCCCCAGCTCGCGGCGCTGGCCGCCAGGGCCAAGCCCCGGAAGGGCGGCATCGCGCTGGTGCTCACCGCGGAGGACGTGGCCGTGGAGGGCTTCTGCCGGAGCCGGTGCGGCCTGCACGGCTCCGACGCCGCGGCCCGCACCGCGTACGTGTGGGTCGGCAACTCCGCCTCGCAGTGCCCCGGGCAGTGCGCGTGGCCGTTCCACAAGCCGGCGTACGGGCCCCAGGCGCCGGCGCTGGTGGCCCCGAGCGGCGACGTCGGGATGGACGGCATGGTGATGAACGTCGCCAGCATGGTCGCCGGCGCCGTCACCAACCCGTTCGGCGACGGGTTCTACCAGGGCCCCAGGGAGGCGCCGCTGGAGGCCGCCACGGCGTGCCCGGGGGTCTACGGCAGCGGCGCGTCCCCCGGCTACGCCGGGAACCTGGCGGTGGACGCCACCACCGGGGCGAGCTACAATGCCAACGGGGCCAACGGGAGGAAGTACCTCCTTCCCGCGCTCTTCGACCCTGACACGTCCACCTGTTCGACCTTGGTGTAATTTACTATGGTGCAATTTGTAAGGATACGTTGTAGCAGTACTGTGTATAGGATGATCGATGAGATATGATGCTCTGTTTTGTTTTGAAATGCTCTGCTTCTTGCGTGTGATCTTCGCAGAGGCGTTGCTGCAACTTTTGCCGCACCGCGTACAGGCCTATCGGTTCAGAAATTGCAACACCGCCTGTTCAGAGACAAGAAAAGAGGAAATTGCTGCACTGGCTTTCTGCGCAATAATGTAAAGGATACCTGAAAATGTTTGTATTCGAGCAATAATGCAGGCATATGCCAATTTATCATCATGGACACAAAACTGTGATATTCTCCAAAGAACTTTCATCCTAAACCTAACAAAACCCCGGTAACCAAAGATTAGTTTAGTTTGACATATTTTTCCGGGGGAAAATATTTGATTCGCATATATTAATGAAGTAGAAGATAGAAAAAGCGTCGAAAATCAATACAATCATGACAGCTTGCCAATTACTACCTCCGTTCCGGAATATGTTAACCAAGAATGTAGAAAAAAATATCAACATCTACAACACAAGATAAATAAATATGAAGATACGTTTTATGATGGATCTAATTATATAAATTTGGCACCGTAGATATTGATTTATTTTTCTAAAAACATGGTCAAACATGCACATGCTGGACTTTAAAAAAAATACACCTTATATTTCAGAACGGGGAGTACTTCCAAAGCATGAACACTCACAACCGCGCAAGAAGACCTTCATAAGATCTCAACATGCTACACCCGTAAAGCCCGGACACATGGATCGCGAGCTTGCAAAGGTACCCCCCCCCCCTCCAAAAAAAAACAACAATCATGACATCAAAAAGCACAAAATACAAAATCGATGGTGCATCCATCAAGCAGCCGCGGACGGCTATCCATGGCGCCAATGTTCTTATCTTTGTTTCCAGATAATTTCTCTTTCATGATGTCGGGTCGAGGACAGGCACCCGCCTTCTTGCATTTCCCCTGGTTACCTTCTCCTTTAGAAGGCAACAAATCACCTATCACAACCAGGACAAGCGGCATGTGAGCTGACGATAAAATTATATTTATTTTTCTATGAAGAGATCCCTGAAAACAGGTTTGCCTCGTACATTAATTAAGTAGAAAAAATTATCATTTAATTGACGAAAAAAGTTGTCCAAACTGAGACAAACATGATCACATGCGAACTACTTCCAAAGCATGAACACTCACCACTCCATAAACAGACCTCCATAAGCTCCCAACATGCTACACCCGATAACCGCCAACACACCGATTCCCTGCTCGCAGAGGTACCCCCAAAGAGAACACAACAACTATGACACCAAGCAACACAATCCTCGGACCCGTATCCTATGAGGTCACCTTTCTAGTCTTTGCTTTCAGATGACATCTACTTCAGATGTCAGGTCGAGGGCAAGTGCACACCTTCTTGCATTTGTCCATGGTTGCCTTCTCCTTTAGGAGGCAACCACTTGTCTTGCCAAAACCAGGACAAGCAGCCTCCGAACTAGCGATAAAGTAGCAAAAACAAAGAAGGAAAAACTTGAAGAGAGCCCTGGAACAGGTTACCGTGCATGAGACGCAACTACTTTGTTCTTCAATCACACAATTGTGTTGTTGTGAAGCGACCTTCATCTTCTAAATTTGACCCAGAAAAGTAACTACCGTTTCCGAATGGTTGTTGCCTGTCTGATGTGGTGATGCTTGACAATGAGTATGCCTGTTACACCCCCTAAAACCCATACGAGTGTTTCAAATCCAGGGCCTCTTTGATGTGTAGGGGTTTTAAAGCACAGGAAAAACATGGAATGGAAGTGGCATGTCATGTTGAATCCTATAGAATTAGTAAACCAGAGGAACTTGGAGCGGTGGATATTTGATGCCACAGGAAAACAAATGAATAACACAAAGAGGTTTGAGTGAACGACATGTTCCGTCCAATTGAGCGCAAAGCAAAGCAAAGCTTAGGTGTTTTTCGTAACGAATCCAACGAATCAAGCAACACATTTAAATATATCTTTTCGAAATGATATAAATCTTCTAAATTTCCTCTGAAATTCCTTTGAATCCAAAAAGCTCTGAAGTTCCACCATGCCTTTATTCTTCTCCCACTGCAGATTGCTGAATCCTTATCAGCAGAGGCCATCACAAGTGGGCAGCGCCTCACGAGAAGCTTCCTCGCTCAGTTATACGGATGAGATCGAACATTTTGACTTCCCAAAACCGGGGCCATCCGGCCATGCAAAGATGATACTAGACCCAACCCACACCACTCTTCAAATGCTACATACTGCCATGCGGTGAACCAGTGAAGGTTGCATCCGAGGGAGGGAGGAAGGATGGCAGTGACCCGTTTCTCTGCACCACCAACATCCAGCTGACCGTGATACAATGCAACCAGCACACGAGCTGCCACGTCGAAGCCCCGTCCGTTGATCTGAAGCAAATATTAGTGTATCATTTCAGACTGTCACAGCACGAAAGACGCAGCCTGTGCACCCGATCGGCAACGTGATCCAGCGACTGTAAACCGGATCGCTTGTGTCCCCTGCCCGCGCGCGCAGCCGTTTTGTCTGCTGATCAAACTGCCCGGGAAGGCAAAACCAGCTCTTGTGTCTCGCCCATCTCCGGCTGTTTGTGGCCAAGCCATTGACCTACGGATTATTGTTTACGCTCTAGCCTCACCCTCAACAGCTCAGCGGGGCTAGAGTTTTCAAGACTCGGCAACCTTTGCTACGAGCGGCGGACAGCTGTGTGTCCCTCGAGATCTGCATGCATGCCTGTGACCGACGGAAGCATCCCGGAACTTGTTACCACAGCCCGGTGCCGGTGGTGCCATGGCCAAGCCTCTCTATAAATAAGCGGTTTACCGTTCACTTAGCTCACATCTCAGCATCGATCACACATTCATCGACCTCTTTCCCATCTGTCAGTCTCTATAGTCAGCTTGAGCTAGCCACACTCTGTTCTTCGACCACAGCCACAAGTCCTCTGAGATGGCATTCGTTTGTGCCAAGGCAGTGCTGCTCGCAGCGGTGATGCTTGCGAGCGCGGCACAGCTTTGCATGGGCGCGAGGCGCCGCATGGAGCTGTACCGGCCGGACCCGGCCGACATGCTCTCCTACCACAATGGCGCCGTGCTCCACGGCGACATCGCGGTGTCCGTCCTTTGGTACGGCAGCTTCAAGCCGGCGCAGAAGGCGGTGATCCTCGACTTCCTCCTCTCGCTCACCGCCGAGCCTCAGGCCGCCTCGCCGTCGGTCGCGCAGTGGTGGAGCACCATCGACCAGCAGTACCTCTCCCCCGCGAGCGCGAAGTCCAACGGCGCGGGCGAGAAGACTCGTGTCCTGCTCGCGGACCAGCTCTCCGACGGCGCGTGCTCCATGGGCAAGTCACTGACCCTTGAGCAGATCACCGCCCTGGCCGCGACGGCTAGCCCCAAGAAAGGCGGCGTCGCGGTGGTCTTCACGGCGCAGGACGTGGCAGTGGAGGGCTTCGGCATGGGCCGGTGCAGCCTGCACGGCTCCGACGCCAGCTCCGGCACGACCCACATCTGGGTCGGCAACCCGGAGACGCAGTGCCCCGGCGCGTGCGCGTGGCCCTTCCACCAGCCCGCCTACGGCCCCCAGGACGCGCCCCTAATGGCGCCCAACGGCGACGTCGGCGCGGACGCCATGGTCATGAACCTTGCGAGCATGCTCGCCGGCGCGGCGACCAACCCGTTCGGCGACGGGTATTACCAGGGCAGCAGCGACGCCCCGCTGGAGGCCGCCACCGCCTGCCCAGGAATCTTCGGCAACGGCGCGTACCCTGGATACGCCGGCGACCTCAAAGTGGACCAGGCCACCGGGGCGAGCTACAATTGCAATGGCGCGCATGGCAGGAAGTACTTGCTTCCTGCGCTCTACGACCCTTCCAAGTCCGCCTGTGGCACTTTGGTCTAGTACAAACTGCATTCCAGCATTATTTTTGTTGTTCGTCTGTTCAGAAGGTACTAAGGTAGTGTATATATGTCAGAACTGAAGCTATGTAGTAATTCTTTCATCGATCAGATCCTCATGTGTCGGCAATAATGTTGATCAACGAAATGAAATCGGACTATTCTCAATTGTTGCAACGTCCATTTATTTCTGAATCTTTAATGATCTTTTTAGCAAAGATGTTTTTAAATTATGTGGAAGAGCTTTTGTAACATGAGGCTCATTTGATATTTTTAGGTCTTCGATGCATGACTTCAGTATAGACTTTCACTTATAACTACAACGGTTGGGCGCTCTTTGCTGCGTCGTTGATGTAGTTGGATAAAAATACCCACTCTGTTTCAAAATACAAGGTGTATTACTTTTTTGGAAATTGAAGCTTTTAAGTTTGATCAAATTTGTAGGTAAATACATCCAAATCCACAATAACAAATTGATATAATTAGATTCATCATGAAATGAATGTCCATAACATTTTGTTTAATATTGTGGATGTTGATTTTTTTGGCTCTAAACTTGGTCAAAGTTAAAGGAATTTAACTTTTCAAAAAATTAATACCCCTTATATTTTTGAATTGGTGGAATATTTAGTTCGGCGGGGCAGGGAGATGATGTAGTGTTTTTCTATAAAACAGTGATTTGGTGGGCCTTTCGTGGTGTGATTGTTATCAGCTAATAAACCCATATTTATTTGGGGAAATTTCCGCGTCTGTAGCTGCATGTACTCTATTGGTGTTGCTGTATCAGATGGTGGCATTTCGTTTTTCTAGGTGGTAGAAGTGTGCGCGAGATTGATATGTTTCTATAGGCCTGTTTTTGCTGATTGATTTAAAAAATCATTGGCCCGATCAAAACAGTACACCAAATCTAAAATTGAATACCTCAGTTGAATGAAAAGGCTTCAAAATTAGGGAACATAGTGAATTAAAATAATTGAATGGGAGAGCTCCTCGGAAAATTGTTGACCTGGTCAAAATTGAATGACCCAATTCTAAATTGAGGACGTCAACTAATTGTGGTGTATTAAAAGTTAGGAAGCATGGTGTATACTATAAAAGAAATGAATGGGAGAGCTTTGAGAAATTAGTGACCCGATCAGAATTGGGTGAACCAATTCCAATTAGAGACCTCAGCTGATTGTGAGGCCTTTAAAATTAGGGAGCTTAGTATTGTTGACCCGGTCAAAATTGAGTTAAACCAATTCTAAATTGAAGGCATCAATTAATTGTGAGGCCTAAAAAATGAAGGAGCATTTTGTGTAGTATAACAAAATTGAATCGGAAAGCATTGAGAATTTGTGTACCTGATCAAGATTGGGTGGCCCAATCTCAATTGGAGACCTCAATTGAATGTGAGCTTTTTAAAACTAGGGAGCTTAGTATTATAGAGGATATGTCATCATAATTAGTATAAGTAGTATATATGTTGATCAACGAAATAATGTTGATCAACAAAATGAAATCTGGTTATTCTCAATTGTTGCAATGTCCATTTATTTCCGAGTCTATTTTGAATTTTGTTGCAAGGATGCTTTTAATTTTTGTGGAAGAGCTTTTGTAACATGAGGCTCATTTCATATTTACCTGGACTTCACAATAGACTTTCACTTATAATATTTCACCATACTTAGTATAACTATATATGAAAGGGAAATGCATAATAGAGTTCGAAATTTCATGAAGTATACTACTTGCGTGCAAAGTTTCATGAAGAAATACCTTTTTATGCGAGCTACAAAAATTGATAAAATCACATATATCTAGCACACATGTACCATCACTATAAAAGTATTAGATTTTTTTAGAGCTCACATGAAAAATGTATTTCGTGATGAACTATCACACGCATCTAATATACTTTCAGATAGTTTTAAACTTAAAAGGATGATTTTTGAGTGTTACAAAATTTCAGGCTCCATGAAGACCGAGAGCAAAAAATCCACTCTCTAGATGAAAAAAAAGTATATATAGCAAGATAAATACAACTGCACCGTTCATATGTTTTGGTATATATACAATGGTTAAATTCATTCATTAGATCACAGGAAGACAAATACTTCTTATAGTTTTGGTTGTGGTGAGTATTTACAAGCGTAAGAGCATCGACAACACCTAGCTTAAAATGAGTTAAATACCGACAAAAGATATATGAGTTTTTGGTCCAAAAACAACTCCAACTGTTAAAGCTACATGGGTTGCTAAATTTTCTAGACTACTACATTTATTTATTTTGCGGGGTATTGCATATATTTTTCTACTCAAGTGTAAAATATAGCCTTCGATTGGCCCAAAGGCTAAGGGCCCCTTTGATTCAAAGTATTTTCACAAGTTTTTTTAGAGGAGTAGAACCCTTTGAAATTTTACCTACAATGGTCTTTTAATTTGTAGGATTGAATCCTACAAGAATTTTTTCTAAGAATCATTTGTACTGCATTGCATATGAAATCTAGCATCTACTCCAAATTCTTGAAAAGATACCTTTGTTTTTCATGTGATGCAATCAAACAGACTCAACTCTTGTAAGGTTCAAATGGGCATGCCATTCCAATCATGTGTTTTCCTTATGCCAGCGTTTTTACAATCCTGCAAATCAAAAAGGCCCTACGGACCTTTGAATTGGAGGATTTTCCTAGGAATTCTAGAGGATTTCAATCCTAAGGAATTATTCCTATGGAGAAGCCCTTTGGATCATAGGATTATGCCTATCAAATTCATTCCTAGACCCCATTCCATAGGAATTCCAACATGAGCTCAAATCTCTTTTTATTTTTCTTTGAAAAGTCCAATGTACATTTCGCTCTATCTCTCTCTATTTTTTGTCTTCAATCCTCTAAAACTCCCTCTTTCTTATGCACCATCCAAAGACACTCATTGCAGGACTCCTTTGTTTAGAAATTTTGGAAGATTTTATGATACGTGACACCTCAATCATGTGTTTTTATTTTCTTATTATTCCTACGTTTACGTATTCCTACAATACAAAGAAGCCCTAAAACCAAATAGTGCACCGCCCCACCCTTGAAGTTTCACAGTCGTCGTGCCACCTCATCCTACCTTTGCCCCACTCGATTTTGGCCGCGAGACATCGCAGCCACTCCCTCGGCCGCCCGAGCCACACCGCTGTAAATCCCCACAAATCGGGACATTTTTCGTGACCCCTGTGACCGCCATAGCTCGAGACGTCATCGGCAGATTTCGCAGATTTCGGCCATCCTCCGCCCCGCCGCTGCCCACCGTTTTCGATTAGTGACCAGGTGACTAGCACACGACAACTACGAACACTGCCAAGCTGCAAGTTCATGTCGGGCTCTTGATGCTCGTTCTGGGCGATGCTCCCAGATTTGATCGCAGCCTTGATTGCTTGTATCTGCGTTGGTAATTCTCCGAAGAGGAGAGGATGATGCAGTACAACAATGGTAAGTATTTACTACAACTATAAAACGAAGGTTATCAATCCAGTAGGAGAACCGAGAAACACTGTGTAAACGGTACCTGCACACAAAGAACAAATACTTATAACCCAACCCGTAAGAGGGGTTGTCAATCCCTCCTCGGTATTGAGATAGATAAATTTGTAGTAGATTGAATAAATAGATCTTGCAAAAACACAAAATAAAATAAATAAAGAAAAAGTCCAGGAAAGTATTTTGGGTTTTGGAATAATTGATCTGAAAACAATATGATAAAAAATAGACCAGGGGTCGTACATTTCACTAGTGGCTTCTCTCGAGAAAATAACATAAGGTGGGTAAATAAATTACTGTTGGGCAATTGATAGAAGAGCAAATAATTATGGCAATAACCAAGGCAATGATCATGTATATATGCATCACATCCAAGATTAGTAGACTGACTCCTGCTTGCATCTATTACTCCACACATCGACCGCTATCCAGCATGCATCTAATGTATTAAGTTCATGGAGAAACGGAGTAATGCAATAAAAACGATGACATAGTGTAGACAAGATCTATTCATGTAGGAATAGATCCCATCTTTTTATCCTTAATAGCAACAATACATGCGTGCCTCGCTACCCCTCCTATCACTAAGTGAGGACACCGCAAGATCGAACCCATAACAAAGCACCTCTTCCCATTGCAAAAAAAATCAATCTAGTTGGCCAAACTAAACCAAAGTTCCGGAGAAGAAATACGAGGCTATAATAATCATGCATATAAGAGATCAAAGAAGTCTCAAATAATATTCTTAGTTAGATCTGATCATAAACTCGCAATTCATCGGATCCCAACAAAGACACCGCAAAAAGTCATTACATCAAATAGATCTCCAAGAACATCGAGGAGAACATTGTATTGAGAATCAAAAAGAGAGAAGAAGCCATCTTGCTACTGCCTACGAACCCGTAGGTCTATGGTGAACTACTCACGCATCATCGGAGGAGCACCAATGAGGATGATTAACCCCTCCATGATCGTGTTCCCCTCTGGCAAGGTGACAGAATAGGGCTCTAGATTGGATCTCGTGGTTCTCAAACTTGCGGCGGCTGGAATTGTGTTTCGTCGACTCCCCTAGGGTTTTTGAAATATTTGGGTATTTATAGAGCTAAGAGGCGGTGGAAAGGACTCCCGTGGGCCCCACTACCCACTTGGGCGCGCCAGGGCCTCTGGCGTGCCCTCGTGTCTTGTGGGCACCACGGGCCTCCCCTCTGGTACTTCCATGGCTCCCAAGTTGCCTTCTGGGCAGAAAAAATCTCCAAAAAGTGTTGTGGCATTTGGACTCCGTTTGATATGGATATTCTACGAAGTAAAAAATAAGCAAAAAAATAGCAACCGACACTGGGCACTATGTCAATAGGTTAGTCCCAAAATATGATGTAAAGTTGCTATAAAGTGAATATAAAACATCCAAGAATGATAATATAACATGATGGAACAATAAAAAATTATAGATACATTTGAGACGTATCAGCATCCTCAAGCATAATTCCTACTTACCTCGAGT